CAAGGGGGTTGCAGTCTAGGGAGTTAGGTAACCAGATGTAAGGGGTGATGTGGTCAGAGAAATTGTCTGACAGCCATGACTGTGTTCTCCTGCTTGTGTGACACGGTGCAAAGTCCTGTTGCCAAACATAAGGTCTTTCAGTATCCATGAACTCCTCAAAGCACTTGATGGAGGCTCGGGTTGAGAAATCTGAGAGCCGAGTTTAAATTCCAGTCGAGTTCGTTACATTCACTTGTATGAATCGATGTTTTGATTCTCCCAGCTATGGGTTAAATAGCAGAATAGCCTAGGCTCCCTAATCATAGTTCGCAACCAGTCTAGGAGAATTAAACTCTGAATTGAAAACCATATATTGCCCTGCCGAAGCACATACGATACAGCTAACAAAGGGATCATAGAGTTTACAATGACTCTACCGATCACGACTGTGATCGATCTAATGATTAAATATCTCCTGTTGCATGGCGATTATCAGAGGGTTATTGGAGACAGCGTATGGGAGAGAGAAAGAGTTGATGATGGCATTATTTCAATAGAGACAGAGTATGGGAAGAAGGAGCTGATGATAACATTTCATTTCTCTCCTGAAAATAAAAAGTTGGTGAGGGGAAGAAAAACAGATTTGAAGGTGACAAAAATAAAACGTCCCTTTGATGTTTATTGATTGCAACATATTCATCCATTCTTGATTGACAGTTGATCTGAATGAAGCTTTTGGGACATGTTCCCACTTACCCATCTTTTCAGCCATATTTATTCATATGAATTGGTGTTTGTTTATACAAGCTTGATGTCTGGCCTTAACAAAAAATAACATTCACTTCTCTCTTCGTCTTTTTGAGAACATCATTTAAGAATAAATGAATGCATGAGTTTATTTTTAGGACCAGAGGCTTTTGGCGGATGTAAATGTTTTTATGATACTTTTTGAGGACATAAATGATTTTATGATACTTTTTAAGGGCATAAATAATTTTATTGGGCTTTTTCAGAACAAAAATGATTTTATGAGGCTTTTTCAGGACTAAATAATTTTATGATACTTTTTAAGGTCATAAATGATTCTATGATACTTTTTAAATACAAAAATGATTTTATGGGGCTTTTTCAGGGCTAAATCATTTTATGATACTTTTTAAGGTCATTAATGATTCTATGATACTTTTTCAGGGCATAAATGATTTTATGATACTTTTTGACGACATAAATGATTTTATGAGGCTTTTTCAGGACTAAATAATTTCATGTTACTTTTTGAGAACATAAATAATTTTATGTTACTTTTTGAGGACATAAATAATTTTATGATAGTTCCACGGAGTTACATTTTTTTTTTTTTGTGTTCCCCCAATGACTATACTTGGATCTATGTTGTTCCTAATTTTCATCAATGATCTTTCCTGGGGTCATTAGGGTCTCAACTTCGTATTTATGCTGATAACACAATTATTTTCACCTGTCTTAATTCTGATCAGTTCGATATCGTCAAATTGGCAGCTGATCTAAAAAATGACCTACAGTCTGTTAACTGGAACAAGGAAATCTCTCCAAAACAAAACTGCTCTCTTCTAACTTTCTGACAGAACCCTTTTCTGCCTTCCATTAGTATGGCTGATGCTAACCTCCAGGAGAGTGGCTCATTGTACCTTCTCGGACTAATGTTTGCTTGGTCTGATCTGCTGCTAGGAAATATTTTAATGTTGCTGCCACATATGACCTGGTGCTCCTACTGCTATCTATTTAGAGATCTTACTTATTATAAAACGCAGATTGTATGTGTGTGTGTGTGTGTGTGTGTGTGTGTGTGTGTGTGTGTGTGTGTGTGTGGTGTCTGTTCGTTTATATATTGGATCGGATTTCCTACATTTTTCAACCGATTTCAACAAAACTTCACAGGACTACGTAAAATTACCTTGCGGTGGTTCTGACAGCGCCAAAAATTAAAAAACACAATTTTTTTTGCACAAAATCAATTTGAAAACACGATTAAGAGACACCGCTGTCGAGAATGAAAGGGAGACAACTCATATCGAGTTATACTTATTATAAAAAAACAGGTTGTTTGTGAGTGTATGTCTGTGTTCGTTTATATATTTTTTTCAACCGATTTCAACAAAAGTGTTTCTTATTGTCTTGCACACTTTTTTCTTTATTTTTACATTCAGAATGCTTTAAAAATTCCATTTAAAAGACAATTGTTTATAATAACATTCTATTCAATCGGTAGACTCATAACGATTGAAAACAATGTTTTTTTGTTTGAGTTTGGGTTTGACCAATTCGTAAAAAAAAAAAAAAAAAAAAAAAAAACTAATTAAGTCATGCGTGTCCATCAGCCTTAAACAATAATCTTTGTCAATTTTATTTTTCAGTCTTTATGATGGTCGATACTTGATCTATCTCTTACTGTTACATCCCCGGGCAACGCCGGGCTCTACTGCTAGTTCTTGATAAAATCCAAAGAAGAATCTGCAATGTTATTGGTCCTGACCTGTTATCTCGGCTTCAGTCACTTTCCCACCACTTTAACATAGCTTTCTTGTGCCTTTTCTATAAATACTTTCATGGTAATTATTCTATTGAACCCTTCCCTAGGATACCTAGACTTTATGAATTTAAACGCAGTACTAGATTGGCGGCATTTTACAGTTGAATTGGCCAGATGTAACCGTAAGTTCTATACTAATAGCTTCTTCAATCGCACTTCTCGTCTGTGGAACTCTCTTCCAGTTTCTTGCTACCAAGTCAACTTTAATCTTCAAAAATTTAAATGCCTCCTTAATTCATGTTCTTTTATTGTTTTCTCTCCTTAATAGTGTTTTTTTTCTTATATTCTCAGTACTCAGTACCCACCTTGAGTCTGCTTGATGTGAAATGATAAAAAAATCAGATAAATGGCAAAAGGAAATGCCAAATGATCTAAAGAGACAAAATCGGAACAGATTGAAGAATGATTAGAGATAAAACAGAAATCTTAACATTCCAAAAAATATATTTTGCCTTTGAGGTTAAGTAGGTATCATATGTCAACAAACAAAAACTATTCATATTTGTTTATTAGATACTATTAATGCTGTTTTTTCTCCTTCCATTTGGAAAGGTTGTTGCATGCTGATGAACAAAACTTTTTTCCATCGAGTTAGATTGATTTGTTTTTTACGGTTTATCAACCGTAGTTTATTTAAAGCCAGAAAATATTTTTATATTTCAAGAAATGTTTTGAGATAATAATGGTTTGCTGATACAAGTTATACTAATTAACCCATAGATTGAGGGAGACAAGGTGTATTCACACTCACACTCAAGGACACATGGCACAGTGGATAAAGGCGTTGGTTAGACCCAGTGACAGGACCCAAAGAGTGTGAGTTCAATACCCGGTTAAGGCAGTGGAGAACTTTCAGAGGGGAATTAACGGGAGATAGCAGATAACTGACTTCGATTAAGCATGGCACGTGGAACTAGAACAGTCTACAGGGTTCAGTTCGACATTCCAAACACTTGAAGGCCGGGGCGTACAACGGCCGAAATGTTCTAATAAATATGGCGACAAAGATGAGGACAATAGTCTGAATAATGTAAATAGTGTACATAATACCTCATCTCAGAAATATAGACAGATACTGTCATAGTTGTATTTGGTCTTCCCTGATCTGATTAATATCCGAAAAATATTATTTCGCCTGAAGAACTATTTGAATGTTAATGACTCTTCTCAAAACTAGAAAATACCCAAATATCTATTGTTTGCGGGGAATATTTATATCTTATCTATCAATGTGACCCAGTTATTCCCCTTCAGTCTCCTGTTTTTTCTTTTTTCTTTTTTTATACAGGTTCTTTTCTTATCTCCTTTCAATATTTTTGGGGTGTAGCATATGTTGAAATACTTTTATAATATCTCAAATCCTATATTACCTACCAGAATTTTCAATCACCCACCATTTCTGTTCAGTTGCTCATCGCACACCCAACAGATGAAATCGCCCACTGGTTGATGATATCACCCAGGTTGGGAAATCCTGGCTTACACGATAAAAACCAAATCATACGTCTTTTCCGAAAGTTAAAGCGGAGGGGGGAGAGAAAACACAAGATCAGAATAGACTTGTGGGTTTGTCTTGATCAAGCAATTAAATGTCAGATCTGCACTAAATAGAAAAGTAAGCTCAGAGGGTGGAGGTCGGGGAGCTATTTTTTCATGACATGATAAACCGAAACTTAGACAGGTCATCATTAACGATTACAGAAAAACATGTAAGCAACAAATGTATCGTTTATCTTTATCTTTCGGAAAAAAAAAGTAACACTTCACTTTTAACATTAAAAATCATTTATCACCAGTTTCTTACCATCGCCTGAAGAGGCACAACATTGTTCTGAAACACGAAACCTATTGTGTAGCGATTTCAACATGTTTTTGTTCTAATCTCTTATGATAAAAATAATATCTATGTGTGTCTGTGCTTGCTTTTGTGTATACATCAATCTCTCATAAACAAATAATCAATTGCATTATGAATAGTTTATCAGTTAGCCAATGTCATCCAATATCCAATTGATTCTTGTATAATTTCCTTTCTAGTTATTGGCTTAAATGAATTGATAAGAAGAATTATTTTATAACCAGTTTAGCTTTTCAACAATTAATGTTTCCTGCAAGTGTTGGTAGCATAAAAGTGCTCGGTATAAAATAACAGAGCTAAAATTTATACTACTAATAATTTTTTCCTGGTTGTTTGGTGTTTCATGCACATGGCAATTGTCATTTAGATTTGATTGATCTATTCTTTATGGTTTACCAACCTTTTATAGGTTATTTAAAGCCAGATTTAATGATACAAGTCTTACTAATTAACCCATAGCTGGGAGGAGAAGAGGTGGTTTCGTGCCTTTCGCAAGGGTATTTGCACATAAGTGAATATAATGAACCTGTCTGGAATTGGAACTCGGCTTAACAATTCCAACTCATTATCCATGACACCTTCCGCACATCCAAGCTAACAGCACCTGGTATTCCCAAGTGGTCACTCATTTAGGTACTGGCCAGACTCAACGTTGCTTAACTTCGGTGATCATATCAGAACTGGTGTTTGAATGTGGTTATTTTCTAAGCGTAGCTTAGATGTGGCACAAGGCCGAAAGTATGGGGCACCTAGTGAGGATCGAACTCATTTTTCAGTCGTAACTGATCTAGCAAACAATCTTGCTGATCATTACACCACGCCAAGGTGCCCAAACTGGTGTTTCAATGTGATATGACCATAAGCCAGGCAATCGTCAGACACAAATATTTGTATCTGGAAAAATCATTGATATTCTAAAAAAAAAATGTTAATGCAACATTCACTCAAACAAAAATTCTTTCAATCTCAAATATGCTTCGGCTTTAAATAACCCATAAAATCTTATAAATTTGAAAAAAAAAACAAAAAACAATCAATCCTTTTCAACTTGTTTATAACCCAGACACATATTTGCCTATCGATTGATTCATTGTTTTGTTTTTTTCTCCTCTAAGACTTTATATTTGACATCAAATAATCCAACAAGGTTTGTTAATATATTAACAAACTTAAGTGTTAAGCATCTGGTGGCAGAACAAAGAAAAAACGACGGAGGTTTAAGAAATAAACAATTGTATTAATCAACGTCAAAATACAACAAATAGTAAATTGAGGAAAATGTCCCTCAATGAAAGAAAGAGATACGTCGAATCGTAAAAGTCGTCTATAGAGGCGTACGGTAGGAGAGGGAGGGTGAGTTGTGACTTACTGCTGCGACTGCCTTTGGTGAGTTGTCTTTGGAGATAGAAAGTCGTATTCCAACGAGTGTTGTGAATCCTGGCTGTTGTGCCATCCAACTGCCAATGATGTCCCTTTGATGGGCATTTATGTCATTTTCTTAGGCTCAGATCGGCTCCAATTTTTATTTTGTTTCTTTAAGCGTTGGGTGGAAATTCTTGATTGTATTTTTCTTTGAGTGTGTAAGTAAAACGGAAGCTATTTGTGGAGCCGATGTGCAGAGGACGGAATTTTTAGTTCAGTCTTGGGTTTGGGAGCGTTCACATCCGGCCAGTGGTGGAAATTTGTGTAACATGAATCAGAAGAAGATCTGGTTTTAGGAAGCTTATAATGTAAGTAACCACCAATGAAAAGACTGCTTTTTAATTAACCAATCATATGCAATGTCATAATAATCTATCAATTATAACAGTGGACCCTTCCTGTTGTACAAATTATAAAACCATTTTAAAGTCTGTAAACTTCATAGATCGCAAATGAAACTGTATGAATCAAAATTGTATCATTTACGATCTACAAATCAAAAAACAATGATGTAGTAAATAATAGTCATTCATTATTCACTTACGTTCATTATTTAAAAAAAAAACAATGAACCTCTCAGTAATTATTCTAAAACTTTTACTTTCTTTTACTAGAAACAATAATGTTCATTGATTGTATTTTCTTTACGCAACAAAAATATGATACTTGCTGATGCTAATGATATTGGAAGAAAAATTATTTGTCAAAAACTTTGTAATAAACGTAACTGTCTTCTTTATGTCTAGGATCTTACTTTATATTTTGTCAGATTTTCTTTTACTGCAAGATATTTTTCGTTTAAATACCATTTTTTTCACAACAATTGATTTTTTTTTTTAAATGTCGAGAAAAGAATGAAACTGGATGATTCATAATTTACTTTTTATTTCCTAATTTCTTCTTTATCATCAAATTTAGTTTAATTTTGCTTATTGAAACAAAGAGAAAAGGTCCGTTTTTTCCTATTAATGTTCACAAAATACGAAGCCCAAGAGTTACTCAAGATAGAGAGTTATTGTGTGGACTTATAGTAGCGTAGGAAAGGATAAGCGTTAGAACGTATTGAGCTGGAGTAAACTTAAAACTGGACTGGAAACTGAATCCTAAAGAGGAAACAAGGGATAAATCTCTACTCCTGTTCAAAAGACCAGAGAGGAGTGTGAAGCAAGTGATAGGCAAGCCTATCTACTTCTATTGAGAAGGAAGAAAAATAAATAAATAATTAGGAAATCAAATTTCAGAGTTCAGGTGAAGATGTGGAATCTTCCACAACAAACCAGCCTTACCTATTTTAGGAAATGCACTCTTCCTATCTGGTAAGTAAAATTCTACTTTCATACAATATAACAAGTATTCATTGGTCAATCACCTCCAATCTAGCTTGCTGATTGGACAGTTCCGACCAATCAAACCGCCTGCACGCGACCAATCTGTTTTCCCGCTCATATGCTAGGAGCCACTTGACCATTATATAAACCGAACACGTGAACCTTTTGAGTGGTAGTTACCAAGTGCAAAGATGTAACCTTCACCGACTCCGTCTTAGTCATTGCTGACCAGACGTTAAAGATAATTACCAACATTCACGAACTCTGAAATCACTCCTGAACTTTTTTAACTTTGCAAACTCACAATTCAAACTTTCTTAATATGAACTCCGGTATAACTAATACCTAATCAAAGGGACACGACTCTGTCCTACCTTTTCAGTTCACATTCATGTACATCAAACATTAATAAATCTAATTGCTATGTTTTGGAATCATTCAGTTCAGTTTTGTATTTTATTCTATGTGCTATTTACGTCAAGTATAAATTGCATTGATTTCACGCATTATCCTTAATCTCATCTTTCTTAGCCATTACACATATTGGTAACACGTACTACTACAAATGGCAACCCCGACGTTCGTCGTAGGACCAAAACACATACATCTATATTGGTAACCCCGACGTAGGCATCACAATTGGTGACGCCGACGAAAACAAATAATAATGGTAGATAAACCACTTCAAAGACGTTAGAAATATAGAGTTGAAGTAGACTTTAGAAGGAACTGGAAACTGAATCCTAAAGAGGAAACAAGGGATAGATCTCTACTCCTGTTCAAAAGACCAGAGAGGAGTGTGAAGCAAGCGATAGGCAAACCTATCTACTTCTATTGAGAAGGAAGAAAAATAAATAAATAATTAGGAAATCAAATTTCAGAGTTTAGGTGGAGATGTTAGAAGTCTAGAGTTGAAGTAGACTTTAGAAGGAACTAGAAACCCAATCCTAAAGAGAAAACAAGGGATAAATGTCTACTCCTGTTCAAAAGACAGGGGAAGGATCGTGAAACAGACAATAGGCGAACCTCTTTACTTCTTCTGGAATAGGAGAGACAAAACGAAATAAATAGTGTTTGGGCATATAATGTCTTTCAAGTTTTTGCAGGCAAAAAAAAACAAAAACATTTTATGTGTTTTTTAGTTAATTCTTATTCCTTGTATAAAGTGGTTCCACAAAAAAAAGAAAGATTCTCTAATTTTTGGCTTATAAAAAAACGCTTTGCACTTTTTTGTGAGTCAAATCAAAAAGCAATTATCGGTAAAAAAAATAATTAAAAAATCACCTATTTTCATTCTTAAAAAGAAACTCTTGTTATTCTTAAAATTTTAATTAAAAAATGAATTAATGAAATTCCGTTTTTTGCATTTTCCAAGTCATTTTGTTTTTATTGATAAAAATCTTTCAAAAAGTAAACAGATGTGAAATCTTTTATTGTGAAAGTAGTCTTGATGAAATCTTTTTCCCCTTAAATCAGAATTTCTTCTTAGAATAATATGTTTTTAAAACGTTTTATTAACAAATAATATATTAAAAGCTATTTATCTCAAACCGTTTTCACCTTTTGCTAGTAAAAATATTTCTTAACAAAGGGAGGTAATTCTTCATCTATTGCTAATTGAACAGTTTTAAAGAAAAAAGATAAAAATGGTGTTGGTAATTCGTCAGTCACAAATAATATCTTAAATAAACTTCCAATAATTTTGGTAAAATTTATAACTTCTTTTTTTTTTGTTGGCACAAATAACAAGTAATTTTTTTTTTAATAGGATTCTTTATTAACAATCATTTAACGGCAAATAAATATATATCAATAACTTTTTGTGCTCTAATTTCTTTAATAAGGATTTTCTGAAGTAAAAATTTTAAAAATATATATTTCCAATAAAGTAGAAATAAATTGGAGACTAAATACAAAATCTAAATAAACTGTTTCATTCTAAAATTTTTTCAAATCAGCAACAAGAAAATTGGTTTCAAACTTTTTAAAAATTATTTTTTTTAATTCTCAGTTTTAACCTAACTTTTGATTTTAAAAAAATTCTAGTTTCTCTTTGTATTAATTAGCGGAACTACTAAATTAATTACCGTTAAATTTAAATAGCTGCTAATATTGTGGAAAACTGAAATGTATCTTGTAAAACAATTAATCATTGTATAAAAAAACTATAAAATGGTTAATTTATATTATGAGGCCATAAAAAATGTCTTTTATTTTATGTAACGTTCTTGATTTATTTTTGTAATCAGTAAAAAAAAAAGAAAGAAAAAATTGAACTTGTTACAACACATCTGTCCAGCAGAAAATGTCATTTATAAATTAATTATCCTACAGGTAAACATACTGAATTATTTTTACAGATATAGTTTAAAAAATTTCGCTTGAAGATGGAACAGAGCTTGGTACTTTAATTCTTATGTTGCGAGTTGGAATCATATTTTTAAATAAATAATTATATTCATACTCTACTTTTGTATCAAGCACTATTTTGAAAAATAATAACTAAAATACTAAGGGACTTTGGATTATTTACCTAACCAGTTCTTTTCCTATTTTCTATATATTTTTACATATATATATATATATATATATATATGAACTTATCATGGACATAGAAAAGTTTAACTCAACTCAATAGTCCATAGAAGAATTTTAAACATAACCATCTAAATGACTGTTAGAATAGTACAATAGACCTGCCCATAATGTACCATTGACTGGCATATACAAATAGTCAAATCAAAATACAATACATGGCCTGAAGATTGCATTTAAGCATGAAACAAATCTGTCACTGGGTGTTGACTTTAATGACCACTTATATATATATATATATATATATATATATATATATATATATATATATAAAAATGTCATCATTGTACCTCAACACAGCAACTCATAACAAATGTTCAAAAATGTCCTCCCACTTGCTTTTCATATCT